GCATCATTGGGGTAGAGAACGGCAGACAGATCTTCGGCCCTCCTCCGTTGGTCAATGGCGTTGGCGAACCGGGCGCTGTTGTATGCTTCCAGGTCGAACTCCTGAAGGTTGCTTTCCCTACCCCCTAACCCCTTTTGCGATTGGGCTTGAGGATTAGCCAGATCTGAACCACCAAACCCTAAACCCTAAACCCTAAACCCTCTTTAAGCACGGAGTGAGGCTGCCGGCAACACCTGAAAGCAGGGCCTAAACCCTAAACCCTAAACCCTAAACCCTAAACCCTAAACCCTAAACCCTAAACCCTAAACCTAAACCCTAAACCCCAAAGCAACTATAGAAAGCCATCACTGCACCTTGGAGGGGCAGGCACGCCAAAGCCGCAGGTTGTTCGTGTTGAATGTGTCCTTGAAAGGCAGGCTTGGGGAGAGCCGCAACATTCCACACATACATATGTATATATATATATATATTTATTTATTTATTTATTTATTTATTTATTTATATTTATTTATTTATATTTATATTGATATTTATATTTATATTTATATTTATTGATGTTTGTACTTATATTATATGTATATAGAGAGAGAGAGAGGGCGCAACTCAAAAGGAATAGCTACCAGGTGCGCGCTGGCTTCAAATCCAGGGATGGGATTGTCATACGCCATCGCTTGCACAATCTCCCCACCAACCCACCTTTTCAGAATTTGGCTGACATTGGTTTCTGTTCAATCGGCTTCCTGTGCACGATGGGCTTGTTCCTCTAGGCGAGCCTGGATACTGTCTGGCCGTTCAGCTCTGTCTCCTGCGGCAAGAATGGAACAAGCACAAACAAGATGAAATCTCTCACAGAAAGCCGGCCCAGCGCAAGCAGTGCGGCTGTGTGTATTGGGCTTTGGGTGATCCTCGACTCGGCCATAGAATCGGACTGGATAGGTGACGTCCGGTCGCGGGATCTCGAAAGGGCAGCCATCGCCTCTAAGCTCCGCAAGTATTCTTATATACTCTCAAGCAGTATATAGATATACACATATATACATATAGATATACATATATATATATGTACAGAAAGTGTTTCTTATATATATACATATGTATTATATATATATATAATGTTTTGTTCACCTCGGCTTCCAGCCGAGAGGCGTCTAGAACAAACAGACCAGGATCTGGTCTCCCTTCCCTCAACCAGAAACTTTCTGCACGCCCCCTGAAGCACAACCGACCCTCGCTGAAACCTCTGAGGCTCCTCCCTGAGACCCCTGAAACCCCCTAAACCCTAAACCCTAAACCCTAGAAAGACCAAAGAATCTGCCCCTCACCCCTTCTTGGACTCCGCGTGCTACACCCCGTGTTGGGCCAGCCCGGCTGCCGAGAAGGTGCGAAAAAAGGAAGGATCCCTTTAGAATAAGGACCCCAAGAAGGTACCCCTGATATCGTCCACCCCCATATGCATTTTACACTCTACATGTTGGGATGTTCCCCCTTATACTAAGCAGTCCTTAATAGGGATGATGGCACCCCCTACTGTCATCCCTATTAAGGAGCTGTTAGTATAAGGAGGAACATCCCAATGTACCCTAAACCCCTGAAAAAAAAAAAAAAAAAAAAAAAAAAAAAAACTTAACCCTAAACCCGAAACCCTAAACCCTAAACTGTCTTAAAGAAAACTTCCCCGAGCCGAGGGATGAGCCGATCCAGAAGTCTGGCTGCTCCACCTGGCGGCCATTCCTGGAGTAGGTGACACCCACCAAAAAATGGAAAGGGAGGGTTGTATAGCATACATCTACATATGTATATATATATATGCATAAAGATATGCATATATGTATATATACACATCTATTTTGTATATGTATATACATATACACAAACACTACTTGAGAGCCTTGAAGAGCAGCGTGCCAGGTCTTTAGGTGCCCAGTACTCATGGACACAAGATGTCGCAAGCCAGGACGCCGTTTGAAATCCGAAAGAAGACAACTGCAGCAAAGCGACTCGATGTGCTGCTTGAACATGCCATAGCTGTAGCGGATGCCATAGCCCCAGCAGGGAAGAGACCTCATCGGTACACGCACACCCTCTTTGCTCCTCGTGCGACGCGTAGCTCCAATCATTTGCCATGCCGGCCCCTGAGTCCGTACAAGTGGCAATGTGGCCATGGAGTCCAGGAAACACCTGCGCAGTCACAGGCTCCATCTCCCCTGCCTCTTCCACTCTACCCACTGAACTTCCCGAACCTCCGAACCTCAAAAGTCCCAAAACCTGCTGATGCCGGGAAAGCGGCGCAGCCAGGCGACCAAGGCCGCCGTTGCCCAAGGCCGGGTCCGCCTCGTGCGAGAATAGCTCCTGGCAGCGTTGAGAAAAAAGAACCTCTGTGTGTATCTCTCCGAACGTGCGTGAAGCCGGATGGATGTCAACATCTGGTCCTCTAGCTGGATGCCTAGGTCCATGAATGCCTCCTGCGCAAAGTCACACACACACACACCAGAGTCACCGGATTGCACCATGCAAGACAGGACAAGTGCGCAAGATTCCTGGAAAGGTCGCTCGAGGTCGAGATTGGCAATGGCATTCTGCATGTGTCGCCCGATCAAGTACTCAGCAGACAAGTAGTACCCCCTGTGTCAGAGCGCGTCGGGACCACATGGGACCACCAGCCAATCCCCCGCCATGCCTTCGCGCTACCCTAGAACCACATGGAACCGCTCTGGCAGAGCAGAGTTTGTCTGTGCCACCCGGTGGTGAAAAAGAAAAGTGGGGCGTGTCGGATGCGCAGCCCAGCATTCCGGGGGCCTTTTGACATCCTTCTCCTTGTAGTAGGCCTTGTCTGTGATCTGCTGCCCGTGCCTTTCTCTGCCTCTTCTTTGCGTGCCTGCAGCCAAGACGCTTCAGTGTCATTCAAGGACTCAATGAGGCGGTCCCGAAGGGCAAACCCAGCCGCACGGTAAGCATCCTCCGGGGCAAGGGATTTGGGTGCACGGGTTGGGGTTTAGGGTTTAGGGCTTAAGGTTTAGGGTTAGGGTTTAGGGTTCAGGGTTTAGGGTTTAAGGCTACAGGGTTTTTTTGTTTAGGGTTTAGGGTTCAGGGTTTGGGTTTAGGGCTCCACACCTTTGACCGTCCAAAGCGAACTGAAGCAGGGGTATGTGGACGTGGTATGACTTGTTGTGATTCCGTGTCCACCAAGCCATCTGGACGACGCTTCCATTGGAGGCTTATCATTTATAAACATATATATATGTATATATGTACAGAGATGTTTTTGGTTTCGTTTATTCATGCTTCTTGCCACGCATGACCAAAACACTATGACCTTTAGCTTCCATGTGCTCCCAGCAGCCTGTAAATTCAACAAGGTTCAGCATGTATGCTGGGATACAAGCATGATGATAAGAAACGTGCCGCGGCCCAATGTCAGAGCATGGCTCAAGCAGCAAGCGCTCATCCTCCTCGCGTCCTGCATGGTGAAGTTGAACCGCGTGCACGCCAGAGAATACTCCAGATGACGAGCAAAGGACTTCTTGATGGACTCTTGATCGTTCGGCTCCTTGGGGGCACTGTTACACGGGTTTTTCGCCCATGTGCAAAAACACTCCTCTAAACCCTAAACCCTAAACCCTCAACCCTAAACCCATAGTAGACCTTCGGTTGTGATCCGTTGCTGTGGCGATTGTGGTAAGCAGACAGCTGCAGCAGCAGTATGAGCTCCCAGCGTAGTGCTCCATAAGCTTCCAAAGCTTCGACATCCTCTCCTGCTAGGCACAGTGTTAGGGTTTAGGGTTTAGGGTTTAGGGTTTAGGGTTTAGGGTGTAGGGTGTAGGGTGTAGGGTGTAGGGTGTAGGGTTTAGGGTTTAGGGTTTAGGGTTTAGGGTTTAGGGTTTAGGGTTTAGGGTTTAGGGTTTAGGGTTTAGGGTTTAGGGTTTAGGGCTTATGGTTTGGGGTTTAGGACACACACGGTGCCAGCTCTCACGTGGGAAGGGTTCCCACCTCACCGCCTTCTTCTGTGGTAGGCATCGGCCTAGCACGATTCGCCAGAGATCACAGAAACTTGATTCGATCAACATTGCAACATACAAGACATGCAATGTATCATATAGGGTGGTGATGTACCATGTCAAGTCGAAATTCAGACTTGGAGGGGAGGGGGTGGGGTGGGAGATGCGGTGGAGGTTGACAAGAACAGGTTCGGCACCCCTTTGCCTTCGAACCGAGTTGTCCAAGAGCGAAAACCTGAAGGCTGCCAGTTGCGCAACTCAAAAAGAGCAAAAGAGCAGACGAAAGCTTTGCCAAAGAGGTTGGGTGCTTCACCAGATGTTGCGCAAGCATGTGTAAGCCATGGATGGACGACAAGTCATATATCCCTGCTGAACTGACATGCACTTCTGCCGCTCCTTCTACACTAGCGTTATCTTGCCAAGAAGCGAGGTCTTCCTCTTCATCTCGAAACCTTGCAGGTAAGAACGGCTTCATCAACACTCTTCGCGGCGCATGTCGTCTCATTGGGCGTCCAAGGCTGCGGGTTTTGCTGAGCCTGCCTAGGGATTCTACGGCATTCAAAGGGTCTGTGGCGAATAAACGACATTGCCACCCGACGGGTCTCTCAGTTGCTGAACATCGAAGCTTGCATCTTGGAGCAGCCCACATGGAATTCAGCAGGCTTGCACTCTGATTATTATTTTTCATCATTATTGCTTTTTCCGTCTATTATAATTATCTTTATCCAGCAACTTCCTTAAGTTGTCTCAACGCCGCCTGCATTGCTCGGCGACCACACGCCACTGGTGGTCATAGTTTCAGACACGCGGAGCTGACAAGGCACTGCGTGTTGGAACCCTAACTGGAACAGCTGCGGGGTGTGCACGTAACACATCGTAAGACGGCCAAGGCAGCCTATCACAACGTCACCACGCTTCTGTGTCTGAGTTGAAGCATCAGGAATTTGACGGTGTACGAGGTTCCTGCTGCCGCATCTCAGCTTACATTTTGTGCATGTGTTGGTCCTTCCAGTCGACATCGATGGTGCCTTCCTGGGCGTAACCGACAGGAGACCAGAAATCCTAACACCACAAACCTAAACGTCTTCAACTCTAACCCACCATGAGCCATGGGGGGGGGGAAGAGGGAAAGCGGAAATTAGAATCGCTTTCGCCCTGAACCCTAAACCCTCACCCGTGAACCACAGGGGGAGAAGAGAAACACTAAGCCTACGCCTCAAACCTAGACCCGAAACCCTAAACCCGCCAGAGGGAAGGGGTGGGGAGGGGAGGGGTGTGGGGTGTGGGGTGTGGGGGGTTAGGGTTTAGGGTTGAGGGTTGAGGTTTAGGGTTTAGGGTTTAGGGTTTAGGGTTTAGGGTTTAGGGTTTAGGGTTTAGGGTTTAGGGTTTAGGGTTTAGGGTTTAGGGTTTAGGGTTTAGGGTTTAGGGTTTAGGGTTCCATCCCCACTGCAGACCTTGCCATGAGCCGAACAAGCCTGGCTGCAGCCCAGGTGCGGCGGTCTTGTCGTCCCAGTCTTTCCAGAAGGCCATCTGCACAGTGCGGCCAGCCACAATGCTCCCCGCGCTGCTGCCCACCTCTAGGGGCTCTACTTGTAGGGCTCTCGGAGATTCATGGTACTTAAGAACTCAATTATAACAACTCTTGGCTGCACTCAGAAGGGTAGCTAAAAATTAAACTTTTTTGCTGCCTCATTAAGAAACCCAATAAACCCAAAAAGGGTAAGGATCCAAAGTTTCAGTAAAGCACCACAAAGACTGTACTTGTGACCCAATTATAACCACATTGGGGCACTTAAGGAGCTGATAAGTGGGTTGCAAGTGCAGCTATGACTGGGTTATAAGTACCATGAACCTCCAAGTTGGGGAGTTTAGACCACAAGAACAACCTAAACCCTAAACCCTATATCCTAAACCCTGAACCAAAAACTGTTTGCTTTTGCTGGCCCGTGGCATACAGGGCACCCGCATCCAAGGCATCGAGGACCAGCTGATCGCCACCTGCAACCCGAATCCCTTTTGAAAGGAGTTAGGGTTTAGGGTTCAGGGTTCTGAGCTCCTAAACTCGAAACTTTACCAAGCATGGTACTTCGTGCTTCCTTGCCTAGGCGCGTTCGAGGTCGCGACATGAACAAAGCAAAGCCACAAAAAACAGCTACGACTGGTGCAAAACGCTGCTGAATGGAAGGGGATGCCAGGCCAGGACGACTTGACTTCCAAGCCGGAAGATCAGCGCAGGAGTCTATCAAGCGCGCTTATCTCTAACTCCAGAAAAAGACAAGATCGTAGGGCAACGCTCGATGTACTGAACGGATGCTTGCGGTTCTGCAGGCGGGTAGCCGCTTGCACTGTGTGTACGTGGGTGTTGTGTGGGTGTGTCTGCCATCACGATCCATCATGGCAGCTGCACGAGGTAGATGCGCAGGAAATACGGCGAAGGACACGACAATAGCTTCAGATTCTTTCTCTGCAAGTCAACACGCGCATGTATGAGAGACTTTGTGTGCTCCCGACACATGCGCAACTCGTCTCTTGCACTGGGCACATCTGGTCTACATGAGGAGCTGTTGAGGCAAAGCTTGCTTTCAGCTTGGTCTCGTGTGTATGGGTGCATTAGGACCGCGAATCTTCTGAAGTTTTCGGTGCATTCTTGGAAACCACACGCAACTTTCCACTCCGTAGGCCTGAATCTCTCAGATGGTGTCGCAAAGCATACCTGATGGGGTAGTTGCAGTACGCGAGCTGCAGCTATGGACTCAAGCCCAAGCTTCTTGTAAAGCCCCAGACCCTATAAACCCTAAACCCTAAACCCTAAACCCTACACCCTAAACCCTAAACCCTAAACCCTAAACCCTAAACCCTAAACCCTAAACCCTAAACCCTAAACCCTACCCGAACCTACCGTATGCCATAAATGGTCATGTTTAGTAGGCGTGAAAGGAACTTCCTGAGCACCCCGAGCGGCGTGTTGCCCATCTCAGCCCAGATCACATCCAGGCTTCCCAGGGCTTTGACAGCATCTCTGAGCTTCTCCCCTTTCACATACCTCAGATGTCCCAGTGATGAGTCTGAACAGATAATCCCCTGCTTATGGTTCCTTCCCATGGAAACCCTAAACCCTAAACCCTAAACCCCAAATGCACTGGCCCGATGGGTTCAGGCTTGGAGTCCAGCTTTTCCCCCACAAACAACTTAGCCCCCGACTCGACATCTATGATCTCCACGTGGCGCAGACCAAACTCGCCTTGTTTGGGGTTTAGGGTTTAGGGTTTAGGGTTTTGGGGTTACTTGGAGGTTCTTTCTAAGTACACCCAAAAGGGTTAGAAGGATAGCCACCATGACTTATAACCCTACTTGCAACTACCCATGAACCTCCCAGTCGGGCTTCGGTCATCGATCCCAGCACCCCCCTTGTGGGCGGTGATTGGACTTTTAGGGTTTAGGGTTTAGGGTTCAGGGTTCAGGGTTTAGGGTTTAGGGTTTAGGGTTTAGGGTTGGTGCCGCATGGGGTTCGGGGCTTTAAGGTGCCGACTTACAGCTGTCGGCTTTGAGCCAGGCGAAGCAGAATGGGGTGCTCCGCTGAGGACTGGGCCTCGACTCTAGGTTCAGCCCTTCCCCCCCGTGGGTGGTGTGCGGGTTTGGGGTTAAGGTGGGTTTAGGGTTTAGGGTTTAGGGTTTGGGGTTTGGGGTTTGGGGTTTGGGGTTTGGGGTTTGGGGTTTGGGGTTTGGGGTTTGGGGTTTGGGGTTTGGGGTTTTGGGTAGGCTTTCGACTGGGCTCTTGCTCACTGCTTCGTCGTGACACGCTGAACCGGGTTGTGTATCAAAATAGTTCAGGATCGGGGAAGGGAGGGCCGCACTAGCATGCTAGCATCCGAGACGCACGAGAGAAGAAAGCCTGCCTTGCTTGCCCGCTATAAACTTGTCGGACCACTGGACGCCACAGGCGAACACGAGTGGATGTGTTGAACTGTTGCGCCGAACCATGCTGGTTTGGCTCGGATGTGCAAACCTGGGAGGCCCGCGTGCTGTGAACACAACCACATTTCGTCCTTACACGCCACCGCTGAAGCAGCAGCTTATGACAAGGCATGACAAGGTGCCCGAACGTCAGGGAGAGGAGCTGTCTCCGACAGATGCCCCATGAGGTTCGGGCTGCCGAACGCATCTAAGCTCAGCCTGCACAATCACGCGGGTCGTTGAAGGACTAGACAGAGACTTCAAAAACGAATTCAATTGTTCCCTCTTGTTCAAAGACGAACGGTGCTGAAGCACCCGAAATCAGGCCACAGACTCGACGAAGGAGCTCTGAGAAATCAATTTGTTCTTTAGCCACAGCTTCCGCTGACGGCTGCCGAACTATAACCAAAGCAACTCTGGCACCATGCAAGCCCGCAGCATGCTCCACCATCTGATAAGCGTCGCAACAGCTATCCCATGGTCTAGCCTCACATGCTCAAAACCCAGACACAAGTCAGCCGCGGCACCTTACACGTGCCAGCGTGAAGGCTTGAGGGACTTGATCAGCTGCCGACATCAACTCCTACTGGAGTTCCTTCCTCCCAATCGTCAGTGCGCTCGTGCGCTCACGTCCCGCAACCCTTCACTTTAAGGACCAGACGTGGCAACGCCAGGTGTGCCCAGTCTCGGGTAACGCATGTAATAAAAAAAGTCCGCCAGCAGCAGCAGCTCTTGCCCTAAACTACCGAAACTTGGTCTAGGGTTTAGGGTTTAGGGTGATGCAAACCTGGGGGAGGTGTGGGATCTCAACGGCTACCTCTGACAACCACTGTCCCGGGTGGGCCTTTATGCTACGTTGCATGGGGAGCCCGCAGATCCTTCATTCCTTCAATGAGTTGTTCCTTTATTGGGGTCCTGTCCTCGTCTTTGCAGCCTGAAGGCATCTGCCAAAAACACAAACTACAAACAAAGTACTGGCAGGAAGCAAAATACTTCCAATGACCCTAAACCCTAAACCCTAACCCTAAACCCTAAAGCCTATCGTGCCTGCGCTTGTCAGCGACAGTGCTTCTGCTGCTGCTTTATACGGCGTCGTTTTGAACGAAAGGATCGATGCTCAGGATTTGCGACTCACCCTCACCAGAACTCTCCCGCAGTGTCTCGAAATATTCCACCTCAGCTACCAGAAATGAGAGGTGACGAGACTTTGCAAGTCTTGTGTTAGGGATCGCCCATGTCAGTATGCATAGACGGGTCACCTCACCTGCAATCCCTGCAGTTCACCTTCACCCTGGTCCTACAGCCCATGGGCGCATTTCTGACCAGGCACGATCTTCTTGAAGTTTTCCTGTAGTACTTCCGCGTCGTGCAACCTTTGATGGAAGCCGCCACATATCCTCACGAACTTGTCGTCGGCGGATTCTCCTGCTGGAATACTCGGTGACCACACGCGGTACTACATTCTGCTATGTTTCGCTGCTTGAAAATAGCAGCATGATGTTGAAACAGGCTGTGTGATTGGTGCTTCTTGTGTTTTTTTATCTATATGCATCTTTCATAATTTTTTCTGTTGGTTCTTCTTTGTGGTTCTTTCTGTAGGGGGGAAGCCCACAAGTCGCCCACATGGTGGTTTCCGATGTTGGGTTACCTTATTGGGGGGGGTCCTTTTCGTTAGGGAATCCTACGATTTTGGGGGTCTATTTTCGGGGTCCCCTATTTTCGCAAACCCCTCAATATGTATATCACTGTGTTTACCCTTGTGTTTAGCACACAGTACGAGACGAAATTGCATTGCATTATGCAATGTCGTCGCAGCTGTCCATGATGTTGCAGTGCACGCATATTATTACAATACTTGTACATCATTCAAGAATTGCATACTACACTGTACAATACTTGTACATCATTCAAGAATTGCATACTACACTGTGCAATATATAGACTCAAAGCAGAAAGTCAAAGAACGGAAACCTCTAGTCTAGCATGACACATTATTCAAAGATGAAAACTCTACATGTGTATAAAATAAACATATATATATATACACATGCATATATATATATATGTATATCCACATTTGGGTTGTTTGGATGTCAATTGGAAGGTACATGGGCTAAAAGTTGTTGCAGAGCTCCCGCCCTAACAAAACACAGATCGGTACTTGTAGGAAGAAGCCCCCACCACCACCACCATCACCACCACCACGACGCACATGCCCCGAGAAAAAACTTTCGACTGTGTAGTCTAAGTCCCCGCCAGAAATTTGAAAAGCAGATAGCATTGCGATGTTCTGGCCAGCGTGAGCTCAGAATGAAACACACTAGCCAGCGCAGCCAGACAGTCTGTTCGTGTTTGGTCATCTGCCACTCCGAAACATACCAACACCTCAAACATGTAGGTTTTGGAGGGGGCACCATTCCATTAGCATCGCACCTCCAACATGATACGATGCTGAACGTACTCTGATTGGTGATGCGATAGACTAGGACACACCTATTGAGCACTCTTGGCTGAAGGGTCCTCGATGCCAGATTCTGCGAACGCTGGTCCTGAAACTTTGCGGGTCTTGTAGCTTGGGCTTGGCCACGTGCCTCGAGCCCACACCTGCAAGGGCAGACCCGAGACTGGCAAGACAGAAACATGCAGAAACCATCAGGTCGTCGCTATGCAGGTGACAAGCACCGCCTGTGTGGATGCGCTGATCAAGTGCAGCTGCCACAAGCTCCTGCCATCAACAGCAGACATGACACACTGCGAAGTTTGTGCACACTTCGGGGACCCTTCAATCAGGAACCTGAGTATACCAGCTATGAAGGGGCACAGATTTCTAACCCCCAATGAAACCCGCGGCTCACCCTAAACCCCAAACCCTATCAAGCCTCCGCGCGGGCAAGATGCAACCGAAGCTGTTCTTCGATTTGCCTTGAGCGCAGGGTCTGAGATATGCGGAGCTTTGATGTGGAAAGGAAGTTGCCAAAGGGTTGCCTCTAACTTAACTTGAGAACTACTCTCTGGTTGGGAACAATGCCTTCCCTAGTGATCTCAGCAACTTCTACCTGGACAAGAGAGAGATGGAATGGAGGCTCGGTTGGAATTCAAGGATTGCGCGGGCCCAACCCTGTGCTTGTGCTTGCGACCTGAAGGGAAGGAGGAACGAGACGGGGCTGTGATAAGGATGGGTGGGAGCTGTGTTTTCAGGTCCTGCAGAATAAACTGAACGCAAAAAAAGAAACGATGACTTCATCTAAATCCGTCACAGTTTCTGACACGGAGCACACGCCGGTCGGCAGAGAACAGCCATGACAGACAAGACACGAGTGCATAACACGCATACTGCCTGCGAAGTTTACCCTTGCATCTATTGCGCTGCCAGGTTTCTGGATAGCGTCCAGAGCAGGGCTGACGAAAGAGTGAGGCGCCGCATCGCCGAAGCTCGTCCTGGCGGGCGAGTAGTTGGGGAGCTTTTGCGGACTGGGAAGAGATGAGTTCACACATACGCAGGGGGGGGTGTGCTCTGCTTTTGTTCGGGCTGGACGATGCGGAAGGTGGCCGGCTTTGCTCAGAGCTCCGAGTAGCGTCTTCAATTTTAGCCCAAAGAATGCGCCAACTTGCTCCCAGCATGCCAGGGCACCTGAGCGAGTCGTCCGTGTGATGGTTTAGCAGCCGCCCATGCTCCGAGGTCTTGTCGCTGACGTGCCCGATCTTCGAGTCGGCCGCCTGTTGCAGAGCTTTCCTGTTGCTAACATTGCAAGTTGCCAGTCCTGCTGGCTGTACACTGTCCTGGGTTTTTGCTTTCCACGAGCTGGCGCAGAAGTTTGATGGCTTGAGCAGTCGCACAAGGCCTCTGTCTGGTAGCCCAACTTGTTGAACATCATGGTGTCTATGATTGCTCGCTGCTCCTGGCGAGGCAGGCAAAGCACCCCCCCCCCCGCCGATCCTTTGCAAATTTGGCAACCTAAACTCTAAACCCTGAACCCTAAACCCTGACACTAAACCCTAAACCCTAAACCCTAAACGCAGGGTCAGGATGCAGCGCAGGGCTCCTGCAGCATCTCCGTGTGCTGGTCGAGGGTTGAGAGAACCTAGCCGGGGCAGGTGGAGCTGACGGCACTCCGTCACTTGACCAGTGAAGAGAACACTCCTCACCTCAGAACCTCCTCCTACCCCCTAGTACTAGATACCGCAATTATAGTTGTATTCTAAAAAATTAGCGGGGTATTGAATTTCAGAGGCCGGGCCTATGCCTGGGTGTTTTCTTTGATGAAAAGGTCCGTCGGACTGTGAACT